TTAACAGGCAATATATTTTTAGGTGACCACATACAAATAGTTTTAAATATAATACCAACCTTTTTTGCAGCTCCTACTTATGTTTTATATAACTGAAAATCTCTCATTTAGCCTTAGTGGAAAATAAATAGTTAAGGTACAAATAAATTAACATGATTGTATTTACATATATTTAACAAAAACAGCACAAAATGACATATAGCTTAAGTTGTAGAGATTTTATAACACTTTAATGACTTACACTAAACCCAAGCACTAAACTACTAAACCCGTAGGGGAACCCCTCGGACTATGGTTTTTCTTAATAACTTCACAAATTTACTAGACGCTTACCGAATGGCCTCTCTTGTTTTGCGAAGTGGGAAATCGCGACCGCAGCAAACCATCGCGAATATAGGACGTCACCGCAATCACAAGAAATCATCACGGCTGTTGCCGCGATACGGAAGTCATCACGAATCTCGCCACGATTGAGATATGATCAGAGATATGGCCACAATCACAAATAGGCCTATAGATGCTGAGATAATCGCAGGAGATTATCGCGGATGTTGCCGCAATTGTGTAAGACGCGAATGACGTGACTGCAATTATTATGGCATTGCCACAATCGCAAGAAACGATCACACACGGCTATATATATTTTTTGTTTTTAAGAGGTTTTTGGCCTTTTAGCGAATTCTCCATATAGGGAATAAGCTATTACCGTAGTACGAACGGGTAAGACTTACTCATGGTAAGACCTGGACCCGGGACCCAAGGCTTATAAAATATGGTACGCGCATCCCCTACCCCTTCAATCAGCCAAAAGTTAGCGTTTGAAGGATATTATATAAACTGGGGAAAGTTAAACTGTTTATTAGTTTATACTTCTTAACAAAAGTTATACTTCTTGAAGTAATCTCTGCAAGATTGGTACTGGGGCAGTGAAAAAATAGTTCCCATTTTGGAGTTTAAATATAAACTTTGTGTAAACAAAATTGTAACACATATCTTGTTTTAGTCAATTTATTTGTATTTATTTTCTGCTAAGGCTATAATTAAATATTCAATGCTAATTCGTAATGATTGTCATTCGAAAGTCTTTGGAAAATTATGATTTGCTAACATATGATTTGGTAAAATAAAACACGTTTTACTCGCACTGATGTCACTATGCACACACCTTCTTTCATACGCCTTGGTATAGCACATCTAACATAATATTCTACCACTGCACCCAAACATAAAAAAGTAAAGTTAACACAGCTTTGTGTTGGTGCTTGGTTCAAATAAGCCGTTGTTATTAGTGCAAAAAGAATTACTAGTGAAGTAATTCTTTACTGAAGTAATACTTTAGATTTACTGTTGTTAAACCTTATAACTTGTTAATGCTATTGAATATAGTAGAAATAACTTCTTGATCAGCATTGTTCGTGTTATTAAATTTACGGGAAGTAAATAAAAGAAACGTCTTATAACACTTAAAACATATATTTACGCTTAAATGTTACTCACAAGGAGGTTAATATACAAAAAGGATGGTAAGCGGGGATAGATTTCGATTGGACACTCCAATCATCATCAGACCCAATAGGCGAAAGTAATTCTTCTATAATATGCAATAACATTTTATAACATGCAATAACATTCTTTGCAATCATCACAAAGTTAAGTCCATGTTTCCTACAAAAATAGTTGCACTTTGGCTCATATCATTGTTCATTTTTTGTGGGAATCTTCAATTATTGGACGTTTTCTTCATCATATAGGTTATTAAATAAAAATATTAAATTACATTTAAATGAAATCATCATCATCTGGTCTTTACGTGTAAACTAGCTGTTCTGAATTATACGCAGTTTTAACTGACTACTCGATTACCGTAAGTAAGACGGGCTAACACCTCGTCATATATTAAAACATGACAGGGTTTTTTTATTTCACGATTCTGAATGAATTACTTGACGGAATTTCACGATTTTTGTGTTGAAATAAATATAATTTTGAGAAGTAGGGAATGTCATTGTGGTTTTGTCATTGATTATAGGAAATAGGTAAGATTCTATAACCATTGCTATACGAATCGACACTCACGAGCTTTAAAAAAAGCTAATGAAAATTTATTTTGCTACACAAATTTTTTAGGAAAGGTTGGGAAAATACAATGATTAGATTTTTTAATTTATCTTATCAGCTTTTTCTTTACAATACATTTTGAGCTGCTTAAACTATGCTTGAATTAGGTATAGAAATATTGATATAAATATTTACATTTTTAATGGACTACTCGATTCCCGTACGTAGGACGGGCCGACACTACGTAGGACTCTGTTGCCACTGGTTAGGGTTCCATTATCATGTTAACGAAACCAATCACGAAAAAACTTTTCATCAGCATTGGTATAGGTACATATTTTTGGTAAGTGAACCTGTACGAACCATCTGTATTTCTTTCTAACAACATTTACAGCTTCTACTCAGTTCGTGGCATAGGGACGTGAATCCTCTAATCTATTAACCAACAGATTCGTTCTGTCTGTTTCTTATCTGCACCTCTGATAATTTCCTCCAAACAATAACACTAGGTTCAACGTCAACTATGTCCAAGGCTATGGTGTATAATATAAGAGCATGATCATTGTGATTTCGAATTTTAAAAATGTCAATACTTTTATAATCGAACTAAATTCAAAGAGAAAATAATTGAATAAAAAATATGGGTTAAGATCATATTACATCTATGTTCAAAATTTTGACTTCTGAGCTCTAGAACAAAAACCAAGTTCAAGTTTACACCCAGGCCTTTAATCTAAAACTAAACTGTGTCAAATTTGGACAAAAGTTGGCGTTAAAACACCATCGTCAGCTTTAGGTACTTGTAAAGAAAGTTGATCAGTTGTAAACATCGTAAAAAGATAAAGACCCTCCTATTATACATATACAGGGTGATTGGTACTCAGTGTGACAAAATATTTTTGGTGTAAGTACAAAGTAAATGCAGTGTGATGATGCATATAACAGGTGTCAAGTCTAAAAATTAACTTCCCAAAGAATTATTTTATGTTTTTAAAAAATAACTATGTTTTTAAACTTAATACAGCTATTTCTCAATTACCTGTAAATGGATTAGAGTAGATAATGTCATTTTCGGGACATTTTGAATAAGAATGATAGAAAATGACGGGGATCAGCTGTAAAAACACTATTGTAAATAGATTCAAAGAAAAAATTGTTTGATAAAAACTAAAAAAAAAACATTGGACGATTGCATTTGTTCACACCCTGTATACAAGAAAGTGTCGGAATATGTTAAAAACTGCGCCATTTTATAAGCTTTCAAACCATATGCTACACCATTGAGCTTTATGTCTGCTTATGTACGCTAGTGGTTTGAAGACTACAAAGCATGGTGTCTCCAACATTTAAAACATAGAAAGTCGGCATGTATTAAGCAAAAATTGTATTTTTGTTTCAGCTTGAACAGTAAAAACGTTCCCTGTTTTCTGGTATTCAAACCACTAAAACAAACAAAAAAATATTTAAACCTCAATAGTGTAGCATATGGTTGGAAAGCTTATAAAATGGCGCAGTTTTTAACATATTCCGACACTTTCTTGTATACAGAGTGTGAAAAATGCAATAGACCATTGTTTTTTAAAATTTTATCAAATATCTTAATTTTTATCTTTTAATCTATTTACCATGGAGTTTTTACAACTGACCCTCCTTCATTTTCTATTATTCTTATTCAAAATTTAATGAAGAACACGAAAATGACATTATCTACTCAAATCCATATACAGGTAATTGAAAAATCGCTGTATTAAGATTAAAAACATAGTTATTTTTTAAAAACATAAAATAATTCTTTGGGAAGTTAATTTTTAGACTTGAAACCTGTTATATGCATCATCACACTGCATTTACTTTGTACTTACACCAAAAATATTTTGTCACACTGAGTACCAATCACCCTGTATATGTATAATAGGAGGGTCTTTATCTTTTTACGATGTTTACAACTGATCAACGGGTCCAGGTCTCATCATGAGTAAGTCTTACCCGTTCGTACTACGGTAAGTCACTTAAATTCAAATGGTGGTTCAGATTAAATCATCGGTATCCTTTGGATTGGAATATGATTATATCTCCTTTGAACGGTACTGATGATTTTTTCTTCGGTCAAGATTCGTTTCATTTTTTTATACGTCAGTCTGGTTCCACTATCAGACAGTAAATGCGCCGCGAGCCTGCAGATTGGGGAACGCAACACCCATCACTTTTGGAGCGAACGATCTTGGAGTGAATGCAACAGTTTACTATGATTGCATATTTCAATAATACTGCTCGTTCACTCCAATGTGCATTCGATCCAATGTACAGTACACTTTAAAATTTGTATTTTCCACAGGCCCGTCTACTTCTGGAGCTGACTGTACCCTTTGGATCGAATGAACATTGGAGTGAACAAACAGGCAAATAAATTGTAAAAATACTTTTAGGAGTGAATGATCTTGGAGTGAATGCAATAGACCCTTACAACATTTGTTTGATTAGTTTGTGAGTGGCAAGATGCTAAAAGTACTAAGTTACCGCAGCTTAAACCCTCGGCCTAGGCCTACTTAACGTGCAACCACTCGACTCGATTCGAATTGAAAAATCACTACTCGCCCACCCCTAGTAATCAGCTGATATGACAGAGGGATAGAGCATCACTTTGCCGTTGTCTGCTAAGTGGTAACCACACAAGTCACTGCGCAGACGATATGTATTACACTTCCCGTAACTCAACTTACAATACAGAAGGTTGTAAGCTAATAAACAGCAAGAACAAACAGTTGTTGGTCACGGTTCTCTAGTTTGGAAAATGTAAACCAAACGTTACTAAGAACTTATGATAACTTGCCCCCCCCCCCTTGAGCCCCCTTGAGCCGGGGGCCCTCCGCGATCGCGGACCTAGCCAGTCCGGGCCTGTATACATATCTGTTATTTTACTAATCTAGTTTTTGTTTCTGAAGTCTGAACAGGTTTCTCGGCTGGTTAAGATTCCTGGAATCATCGTCTCTTCTTCAGGTATACGAGCAAAAGCCACACAGATTGCTATACAGTGTCGTTCTTGTCGAAATGTTATTCCCAATCTGCCTGTTAGACCAGGTCTGGAGGGATATATACTACCAAGAAAATGCAACACGTAAGTCAACTCATGTTAATGTATAGCAATATCAAAATTTAAATATCAATTATCAATTATCAGTTATCAATCATTAAGATGGGGACGCCACTTAGATGCGTATTTTAACCCAAATATGAGTGAAGGATGAGTTAAAGTTAATAATATAAAGCATTTCATTACCTTACAATAAATATCCTTAGATGTCTGGCTAAATGACATGTTTCATTGCATCCATTCATATGTCATTGCGACTGCCAAATCTTCAAGGTAGGCCTCATCTCCGATTCATCACATTTAAAATAAAATATACATTGACATAGACACTTATAACACTGAGACTGTAAATTTACTTTGAACAAATGTTCAGTCTTTGTGTTAAATGTTTCTTAGTCAACAAGTGTTTTGTGATTAGTTTTAAATGTGACAGATCGTATAAGAGGCCAAACCTGAAGTTGGACTATTAATGGATGTTTGATTAACAATTCAAACTTAAAAGTTAAAATAAATGCTTTCCATCTGCAAGTAGCTTAATTGGTATAAAAGAATACTAAAATAATATTATAAGGCCTAGTCCTTGTTAAAAAACTGGTTAAATTCTGATGACACTACTGTCAATGTGTCTGTGAGGGGTTAAAAAGTTTTCAATTTATAACAAATAATAAGATTATATTATCTTTTTTGTTTGGTTTAACCTTGATTTGGTTTTGTCTACCTAGTTTTACCGACACCGGTATATGATAATTTACTATATCCGTTATTAATCCCCAATACATAACAATGGTATCCTGATGCTGTAAAATATATGACAAGATTGTATACTTAAAAAAGTAATTTCTTTTAATGTTCAGTGAGCAGGCTGGAAGACCCAAGTGTCCTTTGGATCCATACTTCATTATGCCAGACAAATGCACTTGTGTTGATTTTCAAGTTTTGAAACTTCAAGAGCTTAACGATTCGATCCCTCAAGGAGAAATGCCCCGGCATCTACAACTGTATGCAGACCGGTATGTATATTTCAATCCAAAGGGCCAGCCATGGAAGCCTTTTGCTGTCTCAGTCATGCTTAATTTTGGCATTTACCTATCAGCTTAAATTTACCAAGATATAGCACATGAGCCCAAATGAAATTGCTCCTTATGTTGATGTGGAAATTATGTTTTGGTTCAAGTAATCTCAAACATTAATAACTTTGCAAAATACAAATTCACTTAATGACTTTACTCCTTCACTAGTTATTGCGTGTATAGTCAAAACCAACTAAAATAAATAGGGATGGACGGGATTGAATTTTTAGTTCGGGACGGGACGGGACGAGATTGGACGGGATTTTTTCCTGTCCATAAAAAGAAAGTATTGAGTACTGCAGTTACCAAAAAAAGACAAACAAAATCAATTTTTACCGTTTGTGGCACTGATCTTTAAAAACTAAAAAAATGTTTGGTTACAACAATCTACAGGTACCTATAGAAACTTGTGACTCGGGGTCACGGTGCGATCGTCAAAATGATCGTGGTCACGGGGTGATCGTCGGTATGACTCGTGGTCACAGCATGATCGTCGGTATGATTCACGGTAACGGCGTGATCGTCGGTATGAATCCGCGGTCACGGGGTAATTGTCGGTATGATTCGCGGTCACGGGGTGATCGTTGGAATGACTCGCGGTCATGGTGCGATTGTCGGTATGACTCGCGATCACGGCATGATCGTCGGTATGACTCCGCGGTCACGCCACGGTCATCGGTATGACTCGCAATCATGGCACGATCGTTGGTATGACTCCGCGGTCACGGGGTAATCGTCGGTATGACTCGCGATCACGGCATGATCGTCGGTATGACTCTGCGGTCACGCCACGATCGTCGGTATGACTCTGCGGTCACGGCGCGATCATCGTTTTGACTCCGCGGTCACGGGGTGATCCTCGGTATGACTCTGCGGTCACGGCACGATTACGGCGCGATCATCGTTTTGACTCCGCGGTCACGGGGTGATCGTCGGTATGACTCGCGGTCGCGGCACGATCGTCGGTATGGCTCCATGGTCACGGCACGATCGTCGAAATGACTTCGCCTCCTGCGTTCGCGGAACATCTCTCGCAATAGCGGCGTTATCTCACTCGCAAAGCGGCAAAATCGCCGACAATCAGACCAAATCCCGTCCCGAAAAAATCCCGAATCAAATGTAATCCCGTCTCGAAAATCGAGAATATTTTTTTCCCGAGAATTTCCCGAAATTTCGGGACCCGTCCATCCCTAAAAATAAAAAACATTTTCATTTTGTTAGTATCATTCCAGTTAGTAAATGTATTACCAGTAAAGTATTTATTTTGGTTTTCTTTGTGTTATGTGAAAATTGAAAATATACACTTACTATTTCTGCCTACCTGTTAATCCCTCCTGTGTAGATTTTATGTTATGCTAATGTCAGGGCCACTATTCAATAGCTTAGTTAATGAGGCTTGTTAATGAGTTGGAGTACCTAACAAATTGTTCGGAGGAATTGTGGTTGATAGAAAGTACTTTGTTGCCTTACAGTATAATTTTAAATGTCTGGTCAAACTACATTTTTTGTGGCGACTGCAACATCTTTAGGTTTATCATCTTCTACAAATTGTCATACATAACATTTGAAGGGTTGAGTGGATGAAGGGGGCAAGTAACAATTTTGTAAAAATTGAGTTAGATGCATGGATGAAGTGTGTAAGTGATGCTCATTTAGTACACTGACTCCCATAGTCCTAAGTATAAAAACAGGTGAGTTATTTTTTTTTACTTAGGGGTTAAGTACAGGAAATGCACCCAAATGGAGTGTATAAAGGTGGTAAGTGGTTCACTTGCCCCCTTCATCCACTTTTAAGTTTCACTTACACCCTTCATCCATACTCTCTGTGTGCTTCACTTGCCCCCTTCATCCACGTAAAGTTTCACTTACACCCTTCATCCATAACTCTGCGCACTTGTCCCCTGCACTTACCCCCTTATTGTTAGGCAATAGTAGCGTACGTACTGCAGCTAACATCATATCCAAAACAACTGACAATGAAAATTACCTTGAACATTACCTATTTGCATTTTAGTGTGTTTTAAAAATGTATCGGACCGTGACCGTATTGGACCCACTTAGTACAACGAGTTGTTAGCTATTCTTTATAGGTAACTGCTTCCAAGAAGTAAAAGATTGTACATGAAAAAGAAATATTTCTTAGAAAAATTGCAGAGATAAGACTGATAAGCATCTAATAAAAGACAGTTATTACTTGCACATTTAAAAAATATTTGGTATTTTTAATATTTTGGTATTTCTTTAGCATAACTGGCTTTTAGTTACTATTTGTTGGGCAAAATTACAAGTCAGCACATAAAGTCTATGATAAAAACTTTAAGTAAGTTGACTTGTTACAATTTAAGTTTATTTTTGTGCAACAACCTTATTTAAATGTACTTTTTATGGTAACATGTTGAAATAAAGAATTTTTTTACCAAAAATAATTTATTTTAATCACTTACATCACTTAACCCCTTCTTCCACTACGAAACAATTTTTTTTAAGTGGATAAAGGAGGTAAGTAATAGAAAAGTTAAAATTTTATTAATAAGGAACATTTAAATTTTTATTAAGTATTTTGAAAAAAATTTTACTTCTCTGCCCTTCCTAATAGCGTTTTAAGAATGAAAAAAATTTTAAAAATTAAAAAGTCAGGTGTTTTTTTACATTGTGTTGTGGACCTGTAAACTTTAGGTCCATTTATCTCAAAAGTAACAAAATGTTACTTACCCCCTTCATCGACTCACCCCTTCATTTAAAATTGAATACACAACTCCAGTTGACATAGACACATTTAACAAAAAATACTGTACATTCATACAATCAACGTCACGTTTCATGCATTTGTTTGGTCGGGCCGGTGGCGACTACTAATACATTATCTGCTACTAGTCGCACTATCTTTGTCAATGTGTGTTTTGTGTTCAATTTTAAATGTGTAGACAAATTGTAGAAGAGGATAAACCTTAAAGATGTGGCAGTTGTTACGAAACAGTTAGTTTGACCGGACATCCAAGGATATTGTAAGGTAACAAAATATTTTCTATCAAATCAATAACTTTGTTACTTATATACTATTTATGTAAATTTGTAAACTTGATATTTTAATTAGCCTAAAATATAAACAAACACTGTATGACAATAAAACAAAATAATGGCAGATTCAACAAAGATATTCAGTAGAACCTCTTTAATCTGGACCCCTGTAATCCGAACGCCTCTATTCACAGTACAGTAGTTCTTTATTGTAATTACTTTAATCTTTACTGTAATTATTGATATACCCACCATAATTGTTTCTACTGTAATGTACAGAACTGTTTATTCGTTATGTTTACTACTGTATTGAATAAACAATGTATTATACTTCATAAAGCATTTTTCACTTTTCCCGTAACAATTACAATCCATTTTAGTAGTGATGGACGAGACTAGATTTTTCACTTCGAGACGAGACGAGATTTTTTTAAATTCCGGCGGGACGAGATTTTTTTTGGTACGAGATTGAATGAAAAGTGATAAAAAAATTAATATCTACTTTTAAGTTCAGAAATATTTACAAGTTTTAAAAACAACAAAAATATAAAAAATATTTAAAATCTTTTATTAAAAAACATTAATAAAAACATCAATATATAAAAATAATATTAATAAGGCCTAACTTATTAAAAATAACTCTTCGACATAGGAAACATGGAGATATCAGTTAGTATATACTGTAGTTCAACTTGGAAAAATATAAAAAACAACAGTATTACTAGTTAAGTATCAAGTAACAATTTTTAAGTCTTGTGTTATTTTTGGAGTGACTTATTTTCGCTATGTTTACAGTTGTAAAACATGTCTCACACTGCCTAGACACTAACAAAACTTTTAATCATTTGCTGTAAAAAAAATTATCAAACAATTGAAGGAATGTTTCCATGTAAAGAATAAATAATTAAATATAAACGCCTGTCGCCTCCGTCAAGTTTTTTTTTAATTTTTAGGCTAAATTAAATTTTTTTTAATTCAAAATTTATTTTTTTATGTTATTTTTAATTTTTTTCTCATCTTGAAAGTATCCCGTTAGTACTTCAATCCCGCCCGAAGCTTCAAGATAAAAAAATCTCAAAAAAATCTAGAATCTTGAAGTTTCGTGTCTTGTCCATCACTACATTTTAGCCACGTTTTAGCTAGTCATGTAAAACCAACAATTTGTTCTGTAATCCGAACTATTCAATAGTCCGAACTACCCCTGGTCCCAATTAGTTCGGATTAAAGAGGTTCTACTGTATAGATAGAAGTAATATGTATTTTTAATATTTAATGATAGGTTTAGTTTAAATACATTTTAAATCACCTACTTAAAATAAACCGAACGTTTTTATAGTAATTGGTCGATCATATAAAAGCTATTAAATAATCCATCCTTCACTCACTCTACTTATGCTTGATGAGTGGTTTTCTTTTCAGATACTTATGTGAAAGAGTTGTTCCTGGAAATCGTGTTGTTATTCTTGGAGTATTTTCCATCAAAAAAGTTTCAAAAGCAAAGGTAAAATTACTTTCTTTTTCACAAGTGAATGTTTTAAGAAATAGATTACACGCTGATGAGTTTGATAGAAGCCATATGTGGCAGTACAGAAAATTGGTCTATTATACTGAACTAAAAAAAACTATTCAATCAATTTGTGTTAAACTATTTAGGCTAAAATATATCCAGGCTAGGCTATATATATACATACTCGCCTTTGGCTCGCTGGGGGCTCCGCCCCCAGGCCCCCTTTTTTGGTAGGGGGTAAATAGGAATGGGCCATAGCGCAAGACCTGCAATTGAGCCAAATTTCAGATCTTTAGCTATTCTAGAAGTGGGTAAAATTGATTTAGACCGATGCACCTGTGGGAATAACATTGGGGGGGATTCTATATTTCGTGGGGGAGGGAGTTATATTTGTAAAATGTCTTTTTTCGGAAAGGGCGCAAGATCTACAATCATGCAAAATTTCAGATATCCAGTTAATCTAGAAATGTGTAAACGTGATTTAGACTTATGCACCTGTAAGAATAACATTGGGGGGATTTAAAATTTGGGGGGGGGGGGTTGTAAATACGATAGGGGGATAAAACCTTAAGTAAACCAGAGTAAATCTATAGCATGAACGGACCATGGGAACGGGGAATTATGGTGGTTTTTATGGGGTAAATGTTTTCTCCATAAGAATAACATGGGGCTCGTAAAAACTTTCAAATGTTGACATTAAACCTAAGTTTTGGGGGTTAAGGAGTAAAGTTACGAAAAAACACGTACAGTGTAAAATTTAAACTAAAGTAAGGAGAATACAAAGCAATAATAATATTTGCAAAAAGGAATGATTTAAGTATGAAAAAATAGCGAAAACCGGTAAAAAGTTGAAAGAAATTTACCAAATTTTGAAAGTAGGGAGTTTTTTGAACCCGAAAGAGTGCGATTTTCGGAAAACACCTATAAGGGTTTTGTAGAAAATTTAATTCCTGTTCCTGGATATTATTTTAAATCTTTTCTAGCTCTTACTGTTTTCGAGCTAAATCCGTTTGAAAAAAACGTGTTTTATCGTTTTCAGAGGTCCGCCATTTTGGATTTTTGGCGGGGTTAAAATTTGAAAATGGAACTTTTGCAAATTTCACCGTTAATATAAGATCCCCTACAACAATAATACCAAGTTTCAAGTCTCTAGCACGTTTCTAAACGGTTCAGATGAGCACACCAAAGTCGACCACTTTCAATGTTATTCTCCATAAGAATAAGATGGGGCTTGTAAAAGTGGCAAAAAACCTTCAAATTTTGAGATTAAAATTAAGTTTTGGGGGTCAAGGAGTAAAGTTACCAAAAAACATATAATGAGTAAAATTTAAAGTAATGTAAGGAGAATACAAAGCAATAATAATTTTTGAAAAAAAAAATTATTTAAGTATGAAAACATGGCGAAAACCGGTAAAAATGTAATAAAAATTTACCAAATTTTGAAAGTAGGACGTTTTTTGAAGCTGAAGGAGTGCGATTTTTGGAAAACGCCCTTCAGGGTTTTGTATAAAATTTAATTCCTGTTCCTGGATGTACTTTCAAATCTTTTCTATCTCTTACCGTTTTCGAGCTACATCCGGTTGAAAAAAACGTGTTTTTTTCGTTTTCAGAGGTCCGCCATTTTGGGTTTTTGGGTGGGTTAAAATTTGAAAATGGGACTTTTGCATATTCCACCGGTAATGTAAGATGTCTTACTACAATACTACGCAAATTTGAAGTCTCTAGCACGTTTCTAAGTTGTTCAGATGAGCATACCAAAGTCGGCAATTTTCAATGTTATTTCCCATAAGAATAACATTGGGGGGGAAATTCTTAAATAAGGGGGGGTTAAAATAAAAAAATGCAACTTTTGAGAATTTTCCCGGGGTTTTGGTACCAAGACTGACAATCGTGCCAAATTTCAACTCCCTAGCACTTCTAGAAGTGGTCTAGAATTTGTATCCCCCAGTGAGTCAGTTACACAAGCGGCTGTATATAATTTAGATTTGTTGGTGGGCCTAGTTATTTTTTAAGGACGCGTTGCGCAGAAAGTCAACAGTCCCGGAAGGCCAAATAATTTATACCTGTGCCGCTAGGTCAAAAACTACAATGTTTGCAGTGTCTGTAGATCAAAAATCCCAGTAAGTCAAATAATACAGTCCGTGCTAAAAACGTAGTCTATTTTAAAGCAATTGACTTATTGGGAATTTGACCTAATGCAACAGCAGTTTTAATATAACGAAATAAGATAAAATATAAGTTCAGTTTTGCTGAGTCAACAGTGCCGGAAGGTCAAAAGTATAATCTGTTAAAAACAACGATAGTCCTCTCGACGCATGACTTCAATAATTTCGTGTTTTGATGCACTTAAAGTTGTGCTAAAATTTTGAAAATTGGCACAGAGCTTCTTGGTTAGTCCTACTCGATGACTATTTTGTTGGAACTTTAAACTATTTACCAATCTAATTAATAAAAATTGATATGTATGGTGAAATAGTTGTAAATCATGATTTCTAACATGAAAAAGTTAGCATGCGAGATTTTTTTTTGTTTTTGGGTTATTATTTATAAAACATCTTTCTGTATTACCAGCTTACATTTTTCACTTATAAGAATACATCATAAACAGGGTGTTAAAAATAAGCGGGGAGATACTTTACCTAGTAATTCCTTGGGTCAAAATAAACAGAAAATCAAGGATAACATTTTTTCCAAAATCATTTCGTTAACCAGTTATCCACCATTTTGTATTTTTTACATACAAATATTTATCTCTGCACTTTTCCAACCGATGTTTATGAAACTTGGTATGTATGTTAAGGTAGGAGAGACCCATGTTATAAAAAAATATTCATCTCGATTCACCCTAAAATTTCAAAATTTAACACTTAACTACAATATAATATACTTTACTACACCACAATATTTACGTATCACCATAAATCTTAAACAAAATAAAACGTTAACATTTTTAAAATCCAAAGTAAATCAATATAATCTTTCTTTTTTGAAAAATATATTTAAAAAAAAGGCGATGGTAAAATAACGACAGGCGAGTTTCTATCTGGGTGTTTCAGGTTTGAATCTAGGAGGATTTAACATTAATGTTTAATCCTCCTAGGTTTGAACTGATTGAGAGGAATACATGAAACCGAAGGGAGGAGGTAGCAACAAGTGCACTAGTACTTACTAGTGTCCACTTACAATTTGATGGATTTAACCAAAACCTTTTCTATTTCACTTATTTTCAGCTGTTAAATTTCAAACGATACGTTTTAGCGACATCATTAACGTTATTATCATCATCATCGTTTGAGTTTGGGTTTGCAGCAATGTATTTTTATGAATAAAACCTTTAATTTGATACCAAACTTGACCTCTGCTGCTATTAATTGACTGTATGCACTATTAATTAACAGCTGTGTCTAAGGATTATGTCGGCCTTAGTCACAAACAGGACAACAAGATCGCTCCACTCATCCCACACTCATCTCCATTCATACTTGGCTTAAAATGCATACATTTGTATGGTCGCCATTTCAAAGCAACATGGCTACATTATCGATCATAGATATAATAACCATTATGAATTAGCATTATTCGGTGTAGAGTTTGAGACCATTGTCTTTAAATTTCAAGACAAAAAAATTTTCGTTAATAAATAGTTTAGTTTGTCCGCATTTTTCCGTTTACAGCCTAAACGGTACATTTTCGAAATTAAAAAAAAATCGGATTCCTCACATAGGCCTACTAAAACATACATTTTGACATACGGATCAATGAGGTTTGGGAATGAATTCCTTGATAAAAACAGTATTTTGTAAAAATAGTCACGCTCAACATACTAATTTTTATCGACCTTATGGCTTCATTATCGATCATAGTTGTAATAACTATTATTAATCAGAATTGTTTGGCGGAGGGTTTGAGACCATTCATTGTCTATAAATTTCAACACAAAAAAAGTTTTGTTAATATATAGTTTAGTTTGTCCGTATTTTTCCGCCTACAGCCTAAACGGTACATTTTCGAAAGTTTGAAAATGCCAAAATCAGATTCCTCACATACTAAAACATACATTTTGACATACGGATCAATGGGGTTTGGGAATCAATTCCTCAATAAAAACAGTATACTGGAAAAATGGTCGCGCTCAACATACTTATTTTTATTGACCTTATGGCTACATTATTGATCATAGTTGTAATAACCATTATGAATCAGCATAATATGGTGTAGGGTTTGAGACTATTATATTAAAATTTCAACACAAAAAGATTTGTTTAAATAAATTGTTTAGTTTGTCCACATTTCTCTGTCTACAGCCTAAACGGTGCATTATTGGAAGTTTGAAAATGTCAAAATCGGATTCCTCACATACTAATATATACATTTTTACATGAATATCAATAGGGTTATGACAATCAGTTCCTTAATAAAAAACCGGTTCAAAGTACCAGTACAAGCGGTACATAACTAAACAAATAAGCAAAATACAAAAGTAACCAAATACACCTATAATCCGACACAATGTGCAAACAAAATACTTTAATGTCATAAAGAATCATATCGAATTTCAGCCTCCTAGGTAAATGGGAAGTGGGAGAATTATTGCTGATGAGTGAGTGAGAGTGAGTGTGACAGTGAGGGCTTTGCCTTTTATAAGTATACATAGCACATTCAACCAGCTGTTAGTTAAAACAAATTATATTGGACTAAAACAAATCGATGATTACAAAGAATACTTTAAAAAATAATTTGAACATCCTACTACTGTATTTTACTATGTGTATTTAATTAATCTGCCATCCTCGTACCGAAGAATTAAATGTATCAATATCAATGGTCAGCATTACACATAGTATAAATAAGTCAACCATAAGTATGTATTTGAATTTTCTTCCAAATGCTGAATTTGTGTCACAAATGCTGAATGTTACAGCTGTTATGTTAAGCAAATTATATTGTACTAAAAGCTAGCTAGAAGGGTCTGACTTAGGGGAGGTACGAATGAGGCATTTAGTTCAAAATTCCTCCGTGAACAGCGCTGTAGTAGAGAGCACTTTGGCAATGAAGGTTTACTAATCGCAAAAATAGTTCTGCTCATAAAATAAAATTATAAATGCCTCAAATTCAATTTTACTATTTTTTAATTATAAAATTAAACTATTATAACCTAACCGAACTAACCAAACTTGCTGATAAAGAAATAATATAACAAGAGTTTAGTAGTCGGAAAAATAATTCTGTTTATTAAATAAAACTAGAAATTGCTCAATTAAAATTTTATAATGACTTAATTATAAAATTAAACTGTAATAACCAAACCAAACCAACCAAACTTGCTGATAATAAAAAAAATCTTGGACAAAAAGTTAATGCTACCAGCGGGATTCGAACCCGGGACCTACAGTATATCGGCCCGGCACGCTATCCATTAGACCACCGAGGCCCGATGGCTAACAAAAGTTTTGTTACGGTAATGGCGTTCCCTCAGCTAATAAGAAGCCCTCAGCTGTCATCGTAGCCTCTTCTATTCCTCCCCTGAGTAAATACCTAGCTAGAAGCATTGACTATTGGAGAAGGTTAGCATCGGCCGCTAGACTTTTTAAAAACTAAAACTTAATTTATAAAAAAACTGGGACATTAATTTTAAATTATGGCTTTGAAATTCCCTAGTTCTCAAAATTGTCTTTCTTTCAACACAAAACTAATGAAAATACATCGACTGGTTGATTCAGAATCGTGAAAAAACCCCATTTACGTTTTAATAATATATATGATAGTTTGGACAGGTTTCAACCCTTCCGAGGCGTAATACATTTACACAGTTTATATGTAGACTACATTATAACTCATAAAATAGTTCTACAATTAAATGGATCTCCTTTTACAAACGTATATAATAACCAGAAATTTCAGATCGTCCTTGCGTGTATTTTATGCCACAAATTTTGACGAAAGGCTTTTCATTACATAAACTATACCTATTTACAGTGTTGACCAAACAGTTGGCAAGAAGCATTAATAGATAAGCTATGTACCAAATATGATAATTTTAGCTCTATATTAATTATGACAAAACACGAAGTAACTAAAAGCGAGTTTTGTTGCTGTAGTAAGCGTTGCAGGACGTCTACTTTACACTGAATCGACGTTCACTTTTAATTGCTTTTGATCTTCCGGCACTGTTGACTCAGCAAAACTGAACTTATATTTTACCGTATTTCGTTATATTAAAACTGCTGTTGCATTAGATCAAATTCCCAATGTGTCAATCGCTTTAACATGGACCACGTTTTTAGCTCGGACTGTATTATTTGACTTACTGGGACTTTTGATCTACAGACACTGCAAACATTGTAGTTTTTGACCTAGCGGCACAGGTATAAATTATTTGATCTTCCGGCACTGTTGACTTCCGGCAACATTCCCATTTTTTAACCCTAGGACTGCCCTGGCCTGTTTAATGCTAAATTGCTAGGTGCCCTGGCAATTTTGGCCATTTTGCAGAGGTTTTTTTCTGTTGATAACCTAGTCATATTCATCCTTTTTTGTTCAGAAAAGAAAGGAGATTTAGAATATAATAAAATATCAGGAATCCCTGTTAGTGGTTTTTTTTTTTAAATGTGAAAAAAAATTCAAATCTTTGTATTAATGTTCAAAAGTAAGGCCTAGCATTTTTTTTTTAAACACCAACATTTTTACAGGCAATCTAAGATATATGAAATGTAGTCAATTTATTTCCCTACGTGGAAATGTGATTGATTTGTTTCAAATAATTTGTTTACCAGAATTACAGGGAAAAATACGAAAATTGGGAAAATTAACAAATTTGCACTGAACAGAACATTTGAAACATAAAAATATAATCAGAAGTATACAATTTATATACAAAAGTTGTTATATTACTAAAGGTAACAATACATTTTTTCAGAATAATGTCTACAATGTTATAACGTTTTTTTATAACTTTATATGACTTGAAAACCAAATTTTAGTTTTTCCGGAAACAAAAATTAGTTATTCAAAGTTAGAACTAATTTTGTACTTTACTATAATATGATAAATATTACTTGTATTTATAGGAAATATATTTCTGAACACGAAAATATACATATATACAGAAATATAAAGAAATAAAGGTTCCAGAAGCATTATTCTGGCCTGAGACACACATACGATTGTAGGCTAGACTATGATTTAGGCCTAGGCTAATAGGCATAACCTCTAAACAACCACTATTTCAATAACTTGAATTTGGACATAAATAATAATACTTACCCAGCGTAATATGGATAAATACTACTACTAACTCATACACCACCTGACAATACACTTCTTTTATACTAAAACACTAACCTCTGATGAAAATTAGCACAGATAATAATATAGCCGCACTGTAAACCTTACTTAAATTCCGGCGAGCAGAACGCAAACAACTTGTTTTTTCCAGTTACAACTAATGTGTCACCTGAATCTCAATACTGAAAGGCACCAAAACATAGAGATAGAACGTTTTCTTAGCTTCAGATAGGTATGACTCTCATCACTCTATGTCAATTATCAACATAATTATTCGTGATTTAGAATCCGCCGTTTGAACGGCGGTTTGGGCAAAATGGCCAACTGACAAAACAGCTGTTTAAAAAAAAATATTTTCAGACTTCCTAACATCGTATGACAAAGTTCTCTATACTTCTCAGTACTTCGGAGATTAAGTTTTGGTACGTTAGGAAAAAGGAAAATAATCAGTTTTAGATCGAGTTTTAGATTTCCCCTTATATCGAGTAATCCTCAGTGTAATCTTTGCTCATTAGTTACAACTGATGTTTTTCCCCTTGTACTGTATTTTGTAAATTGCTAGTATACTGTGGATGGCTTGTTATATACTCATCTGCCAACTCTTTTGTTTACTTCTACCTTGTTATTTTGTTCAACCAACATAGTTCTTGGCAACCCATAAGGCCAATATTAAATTTCTAAATTTTCAAATGAGTTGTGTAGTGGTGAATTACAAATTTTCCTGGGGTTGTGCCTGTCGTCAATCACGTTTTTAGGCTCATAAGTCCCTAATTCCAAAATCCTTCCACTGGATTTCGAGATATGTATTACAGACAGACAGACAAACAGACATAACTCGTATTAGAATATAGGATAGGATTAATTGCTTGCCAAGTGTGATTGCTTGAACTGATTATTTATTTATTGTCTGGCAACCTTTGAGTTAGTTTGATGTCATTCATACTGTAGGCCTTAGATCATTGAATCTTTAGGCTGTAGTAATGTTTTTATTAGTTATTTGTATGGGGATAATTATTAATTAATTGACAAAATCTATTGTAACACAACATGTTATTTAATGATAAAATTTAATGTTATTACCCATAGAGAGGTGGTGGAGGAGGCAAGGAGAGGTCCATAGTAGGTGTCCGGGCACCGTACATGCGTGTGGTGGGTATCACAGTTGACGACGGAGGAGCTGGCAAAGCAACCTCTACACAAGTCTCCCCAGAGGAGGAAGATCTATTCCGCCGTCTTGCTGCCTCAGACAACATCTACGAGAGGATTGCCAAGTCTATTGCCCCCAGTATCTTTGGCTTTGTGGACATTAAGAAAGCCATCGCATGTCTTCTCTTTGGAGGTGATTATTCGTGTCCATCCAGGGTAATAATTATTGTCATCGGTTTAAGATGAGGGATAAAAGTAAACAATAAAAAGTTAGTTAACTATGATACAACCAATTAGTAGAAACTTTTCCATTAGTTAAAGTGCATTTTTCAAGATATGAAAGATACCACAACTTTTTTTAGGAAATTTCCCATATAGGTAGGGAATAATTAGCGAATTTCCCATATAGAGAATAAGCTATTACCGTAAGTCTTATTTTTTTTTTTAAAAGAGGGCCAGGCTTACAAGTCACCATGGGATTGCATCACAGCTTGAACAGCTTATTGTGCACCCTCGTTCACAGGTCCTCATTCTCTGTCAAATCCCAGGTCCTTGGTGAACCGTGGGAGCCTTTTGACTATGGTAACCTGTTCTTCCCTTTGATCTCCCATCAATAGGCCAAGGGATCTCATACGCAGACCTTGTAGGGCTGGGCACATAAATATACCTTCAAAGCTTTCACAAGGTCTCTGGCTGGGGCAAGCCGTAGCGAGATTTCCCTAAAAGGACTCAGCTCCTGAACTTGCTTGACCAGCCAATCCTTTGTAGCTGTGTTAGCACAGCCTCCACCTTTCTTCCTGGAGGCTTCATCAGAGTCAGCTTTGGGGGTACCACCCTTGCCCTGCTTTTTTCCCAGCATCCTGGTTCCCGGAGGAACTGGCTTTGCAGGGAGCAGAGTTAGGGTGCTTGGCAGCCCACACCAGCCTCCTCTCACTTCTGGATAGCACCTTTTCGCCTTTGGCTAAAGCATCCCCAATCCTCCGTCTTTGCAACTCGCCCCTGGAAAGTCGTTTTTCGTTCCTTTCCGGTTTCTGCGAGCTTGTAATCATCGTCAGATTTCAGTAGACCTTCCTCCTCCATTTGGGTCATATCGTCTACATTGTTCTCACGAATACCGGGTATCTAAGTCCACCTCCCCAGTGACCCAATTAGAGAGGTAAGGGGTGCATACGACTGGGTTCCCCCTGGTTCCCAGAAGGCTCCGTTAAGACACTGAATATTAGGCCCCCAGTGCCACAAGACTCTTGGCACGGTTCGCATTACACCTTAGTCTAGGGCCCCCCTCACTTGGTTCTGTAGGTGGACCAACACCCAGTGGCAAGTGAGAGTTGGGGTTTAGGTTGTGGCCAATCTGCCGAACCAACCTCGCATGCGAGGTTTGGCCGGAACGGCGCAACATTTTCTCCCACTCACTAAACCCCCATACCTTCCCGTAAGTCTCATGGTGAGACCTAGACCCGGGACCGATTTACTTTTTCATTTTGAGGTCCCCTTAGGCCAAAAAACACCCTCTTCAAATTCATTATATGTATATATATTTATTTGTGTGTCTGTTAGCGTAATAACTCAAGCAAAAATGATCCGATTTTGATGAAATTTGGTACAAAACTGTAAACCTACGTTTATTCAAACCAGTTTATGGGGGGAAAATTGGATTTTCCAATTTTTTACCCTAAAACGCAACATTTCACAATTTCTTTCCAAACCATTTTGTGGAGCTTAAAAAAATAAACAATTTTGTTTATAGAAATGTTGTTGTATGCCTAATATAAGGGTTACAAGGATGATAATAAAAAAAAATAAATTTAAAATTCCCATGTTATTCTTATGGAGAATAAATAAACTTTTGCAGTTTGCTTGTTTATGGATATATTTTAATCAAATTTGGCAATTTTGTTTATTTTATACTAAGCTATCAAAATTTCAATAAAAAAAACACCTCAGTATCTTCCCTGTAGCAGCTAACCTAAGTACTCATTAAAAGTAATGTTTTTTAAATAGGAAATAAATCTGACAATTTTAAGGGAATATTTTAGTAGAAATCCAGCCAGGTAGTGAGAAATTCACTTAGTCTGCATGTTTTCTGCGGCGGGGGTATTCTATTCAGAGTCATTGGCCAGGGAATATACTTGACTGTATCTTTAGATACACACCCCTTTCTGTAGTCCATCCAAGATATTTTAAGTTCAGCTATGTGATGTCACTGTCAGGGTCACGCAAGCGGATGCCGGATGGTTTGACCCGTCGAGGGGACATCAATGCTCTTCTGTTGGGAGACCCTGGTACAGCCAAGTCTCAGCTGCTCAAGTTTGTAGAGAAGGTTTCTCCCATCGGAGTGTACACCAGTGGCAAAGGGTCCTCAGCAGCAGGTCTTACAGCTTCTGTCACCAGAGATCCGGCGACAGTGAGTAAACCAAATATTGTTAGACAAATTGGTGTGATGAAATGTTTGCAAGATGAGTGAGATGATCTGTAGCTTTGAAAACTGACTGATATCAGCGGACTCTTTAGCCAGGATCATTTAATTAAAGCCCAATGATCAGGGACAGCTGGGTTCAGTTTTGAACAATCAAAAGTAAGAAAAACCTTATAACTCTTTGTGATTATCTTGTTTTCATACATATCTGGTTAGCCTAGTTAATATATTGCTCGCACACTAGTCAGAAGCCTGTCCTTGATCTCAAATAGTCCTGGCTACAAAAACAGCTGATCTTGGTGAGTAACAAACTTAATCATCCCATTTATTCACCTCTTATCATCTTTCACTCTTCACCATCTGATGAGTTGGCATCGCTCAGATCTAATCTAATGTAACAAGTAAGTTAGATCTTGCTTATACCATACACAAAAAGAATGAAATGATAAGTAAGTGTATTTTAGTTTAAGCTATGTAGATTTTAGTTTTATTTTGTAGTGTTTAGGATGTCTGACAATATCACCTGTTTCACCAGCTAACGCTGGATTTGTGATATGTTTTGTGATAATAAAGTAATATTTCATTTCATTTAATTTCAATTTTAGGTCAAAATATTTTATAAATAATAGGGGGGTCCCGAAATTGCGGGAAAAGTTATTCTCGACTTCCTGGACGGGATTACTTTTGATTCGGGAATTTTTTTGGGACAGGATTTGATCCGATCATTGCCGATTTTGCCGCTTTGCGAGCGACGATAACACAGCTATTGCGAGAGATGTTCACGATAGTTCCACGAACGCAGGAGGCAAAGTCACACCGACGATTGCACCGTGACCGCGAGTCATTTTGATGATCGCACCGTGACCGCGAGTCACAAGTTTCTATACCTGTAAATTTTTACCCATTTTTTTGTTTTTATTGATCAGTGCCACAAATCATAAAAATTGATTTTTTTTTGTAACCGCCATATTTAAGACTTTCTTTTTATGCACAAGAAAAAATTCCATCCCGTCCCGTAAATCGAGAAGGAAATAAAGTCCCGTCCCGCCCGTCCCAAACTAATAATTCAAAAGTATTAAAGTATTATTAAAAGTATTAATAAATAAGCGATCATTAAAAAGCCAACACTGATTAGTGTTTAGTAAAGTTTATAATTAAGTGCAATACTAAAGAACTTAACTGGTCCTTTAGTAACTTTGCCGTTAACTACTAAAAAAATTAATAGATCATTGAACAACAGCATTAAGTATAAGCATAGACAAAAGAATTAAATAAATATAGACTTTCAGCCATGCTGCGGTTACCATAGGTTCTGGCGCATACCGCTGGGAGCTGCGTGTAGTTACGTATCGCGTAAGCTGTATTTTAATTTAATAATATTTAAATAATCGGAAATTAAATAATAATTTATCTGTAAAAGGTATTGTTTGAAATCACTTTTAAATTTTGAAATACTGTTAATTTCTTTGAGATTATTGGGTAGACTGTTGTAATAGGCTATAATAAGATTTTTCATATAAACATAGGCGATGTCTTGGAAATTGAAAATGTTTTGAGCATGTAGGATACGGATGACTGATTTGTTTATCATTGTACATTTGATAATTAATTTTAAAATTCACCATAATTTTAAATATATAAAGTGAAGGCAAAGTTAATATCTCATATTTAGCAAATAAAGCTTTGCATGAGGTTCTTTTAGACATAAATGATAAAATCCTTATAAATTTCTTCTGAATTTTTAAAACTGCTAGAATAAGAATTTGCACCCCATAATTCAATCTCCCGTATTGCAAGACAGAAAAGAACATTGCATAGTATACTGTGAGTTGAGTTTTTAAATTTATTACATTTCTCAAAACATACATTTGAAGGAAAGCAGTATTTAATTTACCTACTACCATTTGTACGTGTGTTTTCCATATTAAATTCTTATCAATATATAAGCTCAAAAGATTTGCATTTTCAGTAAAGGATTTTCAGCATATTATTATCATAAGATAGTTCAACAGTCGAGTTTTGCCTATTCTGAATTGTTTGAAATAACATCACCTGTGTTTTAGAATTATTAAGTTTCAACCCGTTGGCTGTAAACCAATTAGATAAATTAAGAATAGAATGACTGATTTCTTGTTTAAGACTTTGCAAATTATTTGATTTAACTATTGCTGTAGTCTCATCAGCATATTATAAGATTAAGTTAGACGATACGTTTCGAGGTAAGTCATTAATTGAGCGGAGCGAGCTAAGCTCGTTGGGATCAACTTCAATGCAACAAATAAAGCACCAACACTCAATAACGGCTGAACGCATTTCAGCCAAACTTAACAAAATTACTTAGACTAATAGTAAGATGGTTTTTAAACAAACAAATTTCAATTAGATAATGCTAATGCAATTTAAAACGAACTAAAAATTTTCAATTTTTAACATTAGGCTTATGGGACTAAAGTAGCCATGACAGTTTTATGAATTAACTATAAAAATGTAAACAAGAGAACCATAAGGTATTTTTCTGAACTTTCTAGACTTTTCTTTTAAACATTTTTAAACCATTTCTATGATTTTAATAAACAAGAAAATGCCGTTAAAACAATTTTTTTAAGGCGCGGAATTCACTGAAAATTGAGAAAATATACGGAACTACTTTCTTAATGTGCGGAGCATAAACAAGGAGCGGAGTGATACAGACCGGTGACTACTTTCTTGGGAACCTATTTGTGTTGCCAGCTGATTAGAAACAGCCAATGTTAGAAATCAGGATTTAATAAGCGATATATCGAACCGCATCAAAATCGATATTTAATCCGATAATACCTCACAGGTTATATTATGTTGAATTACATCGACGGTACAGTAAGTAATTACACTTATTAATAAAACGCAGATTGAACACTGATCTAATTTAGGCATGTGGGGAAGGTAGGTCGGGGTTTATGAGTATTCGTGACTACATTAAGTGTTTTGAAGTAAGGTTAGATTAGGAAGGTAAAGTGTAGGTTATAGGTAGGTGATCGGGTTGTTTATTTGTGTTGCACCATATAATTTTTATCTTTTGGAATAGTTGGTTAAACGGGGAAACGATTTCAAAAATGCTTGCATATGGTCTTAACAAACCATCTACAGTATTCTAGCATTGACTTTACATAAAGTCAATGATTCTAGCAAATTACTACATAAAAACCAAAAGAAAAGAACATTTGGATTTGGACCTTTGACCATAGCAAAACTAACATATAATTTATGAAATGTGAAAAGTTGTATATCATTAAATACTATTCTGTAATATTAATAATTGTTCGGCAAATCCTCATTTTAATGGCTCGGCTGAAAATGGAATCTGCATTTTGTGAAACAGTAATTTGGTAACAATTCAGTAATTTCAAATGTTGATAACAGTAGCCTATCCTATATAAATACTGTTATTTGATTGCCAAGCCACGGACTATACATACGTCCAGTTACAACCGTAATAATAAGTAAATAATTAATAATAATAATCATTACCTGGGCTTATAGAAGTACACTTTTGTTTTAACCACGGTATGGATAATTGTCTAGGCCTGTCCAGAAGTAGGCTACTAATTTCTAATTATAGGCTATTATCTACATTGTATATTTAAGGCATGTCTTCCCTTCTTATTATTATTCAGTTTTCACTTAAATCAGCTGAATGCGATGTTTACTTATTACTTATGTCTAGGCCTACATTTCAGCCATCTTACTTTATTGTTCAATAAGTTAGTCTTTTTGCAGTTTTTACGTTTTTACACATTGAAATACATGATTGATAATTCAGTTCATTGTAGTCTTTTAAAGGTGTTTTACATTTGAGTCTTACACTAAAATAGCCCTACATTTTTCGTAGGCCTATGTTTTATCTTTGACTATCAATACAACTAGACATTCCATCCCCATGTTGAATTTGTAGCCAGCTTTTTCATTAAAATCTGTATCCAACGGCCAATGGTTTTATTAAGGCCAGTATTAAAATGCCGTCTCTAAATCGTCCTAATAATGGTAGAAGACCTACATTCCAGTTACATTACAATCATATCCTCCATCAAGAGTACTTGGTATTAACAATCATAAATTATTTCCAGCAAAGAAAGCTGAGTTTAACCGATTGCAAGGGTTGAAATGAAGACCAATGTTTATGTTGTACAGTTGAATTTAAATGTCAAATTTCCCCTCCTGTTGTTATACTTTAATACTTGTTTTTTAAATAGTTACTGTTTTTTTATACTTAAATTCTTTAACCGATTGTAAGGGTGAAAAATGAAGTCCAATGTTTCTCTTTTTTATACTTTAATGCCCTTTTAGCGAATTTCCCATATAGGGAATAAGCTATTACCGTAGTACTCACGGTAAGACCTGGACCCGGGACCGATTTTTTTTTTTCGTTTTGAGGTCCCTAGAGGCCAAAAACACCATCCGTTCAAATTCATATATATATATATATACTAGCTGACCCGGCGAACTTCGTATCGCCTAAGTTATAGGTTTCCCCTAAGACAGACCGATGGAAAGAAAGTACCGTTACGTTTAATTTTCAAGATGATCTCGTTCGCATCGCTCAATCACGTCCTGGTTGAAGTTCGTTCGCTACGCTCACTCACCTTTGGGTTGGAGCTCGTTCGCTACGCTCACTCACCTTTAGGTTGGAGCTCGTTCGCTGCGCTCACTTGCCTTCAGGTTAGCTCGTTCGCTACGCTCACTCGCCTCCAGGTTGAAGTTCGTTCGCTACGCTCACTCACCTTTTGGTTGCAAATTAGCTGTTGTCATAAATGTAAAAGAAATAATAGTGCTGCACCCTGTTGGTAATCCTTGTAACTTTAATGCTATTGAACATCATAGAACAGAACCAACTTGTTTAATTGAAACAGCTGTTAAGATTCATTAATTCCATTTCTCATAAGGTTAACATGGGAAACTCCAGAGCCACTGGGGCGGAGCCCTTTTAAGAATTTCGAAACGGGAAATAGTTTACGTCCGATTCGCATACCTACAGAATTTACACACCAAATTTCATAACGATCGGTGAAGTCGTTCCGGAGGAGTTTGCAGACAAACACTGTGACACGAGAATTTTATATATTAGATATATATATTTATATATATATATGTGTCCGTTAGCGCAATAACTAAAGCAAAAATGATCCGATTTTGATGAAATTTGGTACAAACGTGTAAACCTACATTTATTCAAACGAGTTCGCGAACCAGCATGATCAGACCATGGGAACGGGGGTTTATGGGGGCTATTATGGGGTAAAAATGGGTTTTTCCCATTTTTGACCCAAAAAACATAAAATTTTGCAATTTCGTTCGAAACTAATTTGTAGAGCTTAAAAAAACAAATAATTTAGTATATTGAAGCGTTATAATGCGCCTAATGGTTACGGAGAAAATTCCAAAAAATTTAAAATTTAAAATTCCCATGTTATTCTTATGGAGAATAAGTAAACTGTTGTAGTTTGCTTGTTTATAATCATATTTTGCCCAAATTTGGAAAATGTTTTTATTTTTTACTAACTATTAACATTTTACATAAAAAACACTTTTACCCTCCCTGTTGCAGCAAACCTAAGTATGTTTTAAACTGATTCTATTTGAATAGGGAATAAATGTGATACTTTTAACACTAATACCGAAACCCCACCTAGGCTGACGTTAACCGAAAACCCGGTCTGTGAGACATCATTTGAAAAATAATGGACCCCGCTTAGAAACACACAAACCGAAACCCTCGGTCTGTGAGACCCCGCTTTAAAATACACTAACGCTGGGCTTCTGAGACGAACATGTTATGAACAGACGACCTGTCAAGGTCACGGCACCCATGCAAAATGAACAAACGATATATCAATAGGTAGGAGAGGAAAAGGGGGGAAGGTATTGGGGGAATGGAATCTACCAAGTAAACAGTGTTGCCAATATGCATTTTTGAAAATTCCCGTGGGCCTGTCAGACCGGGGCTAAAACATAAAATGTTAAACATGGTATTAGTGTTAAGGGGACATTTTAGTGTAAATCCATTCAAGGAAATGGAAATTCGCTTAGTCTGCAGGTTTGCTGCGGCGGGGGTATTTGGATGTTAATATCAGATTCCAACTACTGTAATATTTTCCTGGTCAAAAATACCATAATGCACTTCTGGAAGAGGTATCTGAATAACAAGATGAAGTAAAAACAAATTTGAATTATTATAATTTTAATCAATAAAACAAGCATTAGTACATCTATTGACTTTTTTACATTTAGTTACTTATACAAATATCAAATCACGTTTGCTCCGCTCAACTGGATTTCACCTCTCTGAAAGCAACCCTAGTAAATATTAAAAATAGCAAGGGGCCTAGTATTGACCCTCGCGGAACCCTACATTTAGTGTTAAGCCACTGTGAAATAAGCCACTTTTTTTTTTGTTCTTTGATGTCTGTTAGTTTAAATATGAATGCATGCAAGACAGTGCCATATCAGAAAATTTATAATATTTAAGTTTACTCATTAATATATCATAATTTACACAATCAAATGCCTTGGAGTTGAATTGAGTTGAACGTTTCAGCGGAACTTTGTGATGGAGGGAGGAGCGATGGTACTGGCCGATGGTGGAGTTGTTTGTATTGATGAATTTGATAAAATGCGTGAAGATGACAGAGTTGCAATCCATGAAGCCATGGAACAACAAACTATATCTATAGCAAAGGTAATGACAGTTTTTGATTGGTGGGTTTGATTTGAAGATGTTTTAACTGAAAAATTAATGCGGTAATCACAGTTTTTACATAACAGAAAATGTGGTAAGCAAATGAGTAGGCCTATAACTTTCGCAGAAATGTGATTTGGCTAAAAGAAAGGTTTTTTAAATGAAACTTATTTTAAATATTTTGTGAAATATGGTATAATATGTTTAGTTACATCATAAATACACAAATTCTTGTGTTTACAATACCGCTGATTTAATTTTATGTAAAAATATTAAATAATATGACCTAACAACTTTTTTTTCCTGATCATTGGAAGTTCTAAATTTAACTTTAAAACACAATGAAAAGTGAAAGTATAGGAGTAGTAGGAAGAAGGATAAGGTGGAGGTGAATAAGCATTTGACTATGAATAAAAGAGCTGCTTTTGTAAAGAGGTTTGTAGATTAAACCTCGTCAACAACACCTCATTAAAATATTTAGATACAGTCAAAGCCCGCTAATCTGGCATCTGCTTGCCAAGTTTAAAAAAAAATATGTAATGTTATATTAGCGCACTTGGCAAGGAATCAATCGGCAAAGTCAGGAGTGGTCCGTAGATGACAAGCAACCGGCAGACGTCAGTTGCACTTGATTAAGTTGGGGGGCCTTTTTCTTTTATTTTATTTTTAGTATTTTATATCTCTACTGAAATAAGAGAAAGCACAAAAAAAAACACGGTATGTCACGCCGGCCAATAATTTTTCTGCTTTAAAATTAGTTTTGTTTTTGCTAGTGTCGCAACAACTGCTGTTTTAGAAGCTGGCATTTGCAAACACTAGGCATTGCATAAGTCCCAAATGTGCCATATTAGCAAGCATCTAGTGTACTTATTAATATTGACAATGCAAATTCAGTAAAATCTTTTACTTTCAACAAATTAAAATTTTTTCACTTTATTTTTTTTATTTTGTAATTAGTTTTGGCTTTGCCACATCACTAATTGTTGTATTTGGCTATGTCTAGCTAAAATAGTTGTTTGTTTATAAAGCACATAAAAAAATCTGTTTTAAATAAATCTGTCAAACAGATTAAACAGGTAATATATAACTTTTTATGGTGTGATCGATCAATATGTGTTAGGAAAACATTTGAGTACAGAAAATTTAAGAACTCTAAAGCAATGGGAGGTGTGACTGACTAATGGTTGCTAGCTCTGTATGCCTAATTAATGTTTAACACATTTTTCTTAATATTTGAATTTATGTATACAATTACACCTGAAGGTTCAGTATTTTTCAAATTTGTTATTTCATGATTTATATTTAATATTTTAGGCTGGAATAACAACTACATTGAACTCAAGGTGTTCAGTGCTAGCAGCCGCCAACTCAGTTTTTGGACGTTGGGATGACACCAAAGGCGAGGAAAACATTGACTTCATGCCAACCATCTTGTCAAGATTTGATATGATCTTCATTGTAAAAGATGCACACGATGAAGCAAGAGACACTGTATGTATTCACCAGAATTCTAGTACCAACAAGCCTGTTTGTCCTTTACCATCAGGACAGTTGCCCAGTGACAGCAATTAACTATTACAGTACAGCAGAGGGGTGAAAATATTAGTAGAGAGGGGGGGGTATTATTGTTTGGCAGAGGGGTGAAAATATTAGTAGAGAGGGGGGGGGGGTATTATTGTTTGGCAGAGGGGTGAAAATATTAGTAGAGAGGGGGGGGGGTATTATTGTTTGGCAGAGGGGTGAAAATATTAGTAGAGGGGGGGGGTATTATTGTTTGGCAGAGGGGTGAAAATATTTGCAGAGGGGGGGGGGGTATTATTGTTTAGCAGAGGGGTGAAAATATTAGTAGAGGGGGGGGGTATTATTGTTTAGCAGAGGGGTGAAAATATTAGTAGAGGGGGGGTATTATTGTTTAGCAGAGGGGTGAAAATATTAGTAGAGGGGGGGGGTATTATTGTTTAGCAGAGGGGTGAAAATATTAGTAGGGGGGGGGGTATTATTGTTTGGCAGAGGGGTGAAAATATTAGTAGAGGGGGGGGTATTATTGTTTAGCAGAGGGGTGAAAATATTAGTAGAGAGGGGGGGGTATTATTGTTTGGCAGAGGGGTGAAAATATTAGTAGAGGGGGGGGGGTATTATTGTTTAGCAGAGGGGTGAAAATATTAGTAGAGAGGGGGGGTATTATTGTTTAGCAGAGGGGTGAAAATATTAGTAGAGGGGGGGGGGTATTATTGTTTAGCAGAGGGGTGAAAATATTAGTAGAGGGGGGGTATTATTGTTTAGTAGAGGGGTGAAAATATTTGTAGAGAGGGGGGTATTATTGTTTAGCAGAGGGGTGAAAATTCCTTCAAAGTTGGGAGCATTAAAAGTAGGCCTGCACATATATGTTAGAGAAAAGTACAGTGTCATTTAACAAATTGAAAACATGTCGAAAATCCAAGAAATGTTAACAATTTAAGAAGTAGGGTGATTTTTGGGAACAAAGGGGTGCGATTGTTGGAAAAGGCCCAATAGCGATTTGTAGAAAATATTTCTATTTCTCTCTTTCTTTCTTATTAAATGGCGACCCAGCGACCACAGAATTAAAATAGACTGGCTATGCCATAAGCCTTTACAATGCAGGAATTGAAGCCATGTCTGCCATCTTGGATATGTATAGAAACTAGAAACGTCGAGCGGGCCTAGAGAAGTGTAAAATGTTCAGTGCTCCCATTTCATTTACACTGTTGTTTTATTACCTTCATGCTCAAAATGCTTTGAAACTTTACATACTTGCTATAGATTAGTGTCGGGGCTATAGAATACAGGGGCTGGCTCACGTCGACTAGCAAAGTGGTCCCACTGCCGTGTGGCTGTGACGTCACCGTGCTGCCTCCACGGGTGTAGCTAGCGCGCGGCACATATACAAACCGCTCATTTAAACGCTTCCCTAAATGTACACAATTAAATTGTTCGTATGAAACTTATATTGTTGTAATCTGCATTAACTACAGAATCTGATGGTCCAAAAATATTTTAGTTATGATCAATAATATGTTTTTTTAAAAGGGGAAAATTATGAGGATTACAAACTTGTGAACTACAAAAAGTCACTAAGCGGGGATGTTTTTAATTTTTGGGATAGGAACAAACTTTGGACGAGAAAAATATTCATTAATAGTTCTACTTCAATAATTAGCCTGAAAATTCTCGATAAAACCAACAGGTTGTTTATTGCTTATCAGGAGTTAGGGTCGTTAGGCTTTATAAACTTGGCAATCATATTACATCGTTCGGCACATGTCCGCATCGTGCTGTTTATGACAAGATCGTAAAAAAATGTTATGATCGTGATAAAACAATTGCACTGATTCTATTAGTGAAACAAGTAATTAGTGCTAAAACTGAATTTTAAGAATTGTGTAGACTTAAGGCTTAGAATATTATTTATCTTGATTGATATTCCGGTACCCCTGGTCATATATTCTAATACACTTGGTTGGGTATCTTTTAGGAATGTGTAATGGTTTAGGTAATTTTATATTGTCTGTTGAACAAAGTGTTTATTCGTTGAAAATAAGTACCTAAAAGAGCGTTTTAATGCGATAGTATTTTTATTATCATAGTTGTATCCTATTTCGCTGATTTTAGCCACTTACTTATCTTCTGATCATTTTTCTTCTATCTTCTTCAGAAACAAACAGAAGACGCGAATAACAATGAAAGAGCGAAGTTGATTTCACGCGTATTTGATGCAGTGTTGCCATAACAACAACCTCAAATTTGCGAGGCGAGCGGCAAAATTACCCGCAAGCGCTCAGTTGTAACAATCGTCTTTTGAGACGATTTATTAATGAACTGTTAGGGGTATTTAAGAATTGTTAAGTAATTACTATGGAAGAACTGATTGACTACAGTTGCCTCGCTGAAAGTTTGTGCATAACCCGAAAATTAAAATGTTCCTCGCTTAGTGTTTTTTTCAAGTTTTATTATTGTAGTTTCTCTACGTTTGTTGTTATAAAACCAATTTACTTGTGGTAAACTAAAAACTGTTTGGATATTTGGATTCTACAGTTAATGCAGAATAAAACGATATAAGTATCATATAAGAAATATGTTCGTACAACAGTAGGGGAGCATGTAAAAGAGTGAGAATTTCGCTAGCCGCGTAATGGAAACAGGCCCGACTGTCAGCCCGGTTACGTCACAGGAGGTGGGGGAGCGGGGCCGTGTCGGCAAGTGCTACATCAAAGACGTGAGCCAGCCCCTGTATTCTATAGCCCCGGATTAGTGTAGGATGCTAATGGTATGTTTATAATCAGAAAATTAAAATAGTTTGCTATTATAAAAATTGAATAAAGTTCAAACTGTTTTATACATTTTAATTGGTGACATCAAAAAGTTTCATTGCGAATTACGAGAAAGTTTTTTGTTTTTAAGGCAGGTGTGTTATGTAAGCGAGAGAAATGTAGCCAGAATACTATATTTTCTGAATCTTATTTTTTGAAAAAAAATAGCTACTGTATTTTTGATAATACAATAGGTATAACACAAGCTTCGTTCATGCGGTTTGCGGCGACTTGAACGCGCGCCCGGCCTCTACTTGCCTGGTCGACTCCTGTGGTTTAGCCCAGCTTCGGGATTCCGAATTATATACCCAGGAAGGTATTACAGGAGACTCCCTCTAGTTTGGCCACCACTGGCCGGACTACAAAACGGCCGGACTAACCGGAGATGTAGAATGCATAAGATGTAGTGCATTTTACATAATCAAAATACAAATAAAAGTATTGCGCAATCGTGATATGTTAACCTTGATTCAGTAATAAAAACTGTAACGTTAAAAATCCACGCTTACTCAAGCAAAACAAAAATTACTCAACACTGTGCGTACAGCAATAAATCACGTAAAGACCAGAACAATAGAAAGTCTGGTACTGCTACCGTAGTCAGCATAGGCTACTAGGCCTACTATATGTTGTTTCAGAACATAAGAATGTCGATAAAAACATTAAATAACTCATAAAACAGAATAAAATCATAGTACTTAGTCTTAAAGATAATAACGGCCGTCATAAAATCGGATAAAGATAACAATGGATGACGTAAAACACCGCTTATTCTTTCTTCTTTGTTCTTCTATTCTTTCTTTGGTTTCTCTTCATCCACACATTCAAAAAGTTGCCATGGTTACTAATCACCCAATCACAAACTGTTGTGAGATAGCAAGCGCACAGCAGACAGTTATGTAAAGAGCAGAAGATTGTCAGTGCAAGCGGATAGCTTGACCTTGAAGCTAATGATGGCTATTTCTTTGTTTTGCTTTAATTTCTTTTTGTCAAATAAACCGTGGTGTTTCAAAACAATAATGGGGGAACCTACCGCATAAAAAATGGTCCGAAATATTTAATTATACACTGCATTTCAACATATTAAACTAAAGATAAAGCGTAGGATTGGTAGACCTGATCTGCCTTATAGCTACACAGTTTTTACAAGTGCCGCAAAATCTCTTATTTTACCGTTCTGACGTACTCTATTACTGTTTACTCCCATGAAACCATCTATCGTAAGTGTTTTGCACGTAATACTACATTAATAACGGACGATTACACAATTCTGAACACTATTACAACGTCTTTATAATCTAACCTATTACAAGTTTTACAAATTGAAGTGGTCCACGACCGTTATTTCAAAGTTGGCGCATGCGCACTTTGAAGACTTGCTGCCAACAATATAATGAGACATTTCCCTCTGTTCTGAAGAGCTTCAAATTCTGGACTGCAGATACCACCACTAATCAACAAACCCGCCTTATCAGCGACCGCAATCCTTATCTCCCGGCGCCTGAACTCCAGAGCTATTATCGCTACGCTGCCATTCATAGAACCATCCTTCATTCATTTACAAATCACTCATTGTCCCTTGCTTATTTTACTTCAGCTAGTACCTGGAGACCGAGCTTTGCTCCCCCACTCTGCGATGCCAGTCTTTACTACTTCCTTCACCATTTCCTACGTCATTCTTTCCCTCCCTTCTCATAGCATTTAAGTATTAGAGATGCATTAATCTAACTGACACAAACGGTTCCTACACTCTGCGATGCTAAACTTTACTACTTCCTACGTCGTGGACATGTTGTCATCTCTTTCCTTTGCATTTTAGTATTTTAAATACAAAAAATCTAAAATCTAAAAAAAAAATAAAAAAAAATAAAAAATAATAAAAAATCTAAAAATCTAAAAATAAAAAATCTAATTGCCAACAACATTTCCCACACTCCGCACTGCTAGCATTTACTAATTCCTATGTCTTGGACATCTTTCCATCCCATCTCATAGCATTTCAGTATTTCACTTTCAGACACAGAAATCGAACTGTTACAATTGGTTTCCAGTTCCCAGACTCCACAATGCTCGCCTCTACTACTTCATTCACCTCTTCCTACGTCGCGGACCTGTTTCCTATTGCATTTTAAGATTGCAGATACCTTAAACTAATCCTTAAAA